CCCCAAAACCCCAAAACCCCAAAACCCCAAAACCCCTTATCAACTAGATTTATTGAAGAAAAATGGATTGGAAAAGGATCAATATATTCCCTCCTATTTTTGGAAACTGGCTTTCCTCATGATTTATGTGCAATATGAGTTAGTAGATGAGTGAACAATAATTTGCAGCTCAGAGGTTTTACCTCCAGGGGTTATCTATCAAAGAGCGATAGTTTATAAATACCTCACAAAATATCAGGATGTACATTCTGGGTTATCTTATATTAGAGGGATTTTAAAATTTCGACTGTTCGAGAGTCATAGCTTTCATTCGAGAAAATTATTTATGATGCGACAGCTGGCAAGAAACTATAATACTTCAAGCTCATTATTAGCTTAGTTCTTGTAATTTTAAGTCAGGTTTTCGACCAATAACTCAAAGTAAGAATTATTCAGACTGGAAAACATAATAATTAAAAATGAATATGGATCATGGCTCCACGATTTCCTGTACTTTCAGTAGTAGGAAACCTAAAGGGGATAAAAAGTATAAAGATACCAAGGAAATGCATTGAATAGATGATTCAGAGGTAGATACTTAGTTCATTACTTATTTCGCTTAATATTAACAAAATTCATTGATATAGACCCGCAAGAACCCAATATTGGATCTCTCTGAGACAGACCTTTGTTCACAAGACCATCAACAGATTAGTGAAATTGAGAGAAGGCTTCAAGTGGCCAAAGATAGTTTCAGCGTTCATTTAGAAGGTAAGATACACCTTATGGTAAAGAGGTAGCTTTGACACATGCTAGTGCAAATAAATCTGGAGGAAGTCGTACAAACCCAAACTTTATGCATTAATTATAAGATGAATAAAAAGGGCAGCGTTCTTACTGTGTTTATATCGGGTAGATAAGTGGAAAATTAGCATATAATTCGCCAAAAAATTATAGTATGTGCTGCTTGTTTTTAAGCTTTTTCATTAGAGTGGTTGCCATTTTCTTGGCTGTATGAACATTTAAGTTATGAGAATACGGCGGGTATAGACTATATACTTGTAAGACTATATTAAGAAATTAGTATGAAGACCAGGCTAAATTCAATTGAATATTTTCAGACCTGAAGGATCATTTTCCGAAATAATTTCTCTCCTGAAAACTACTTTGAATATTTATTTCATGATCTAATTGTTTACTATGATGTAAACCTTAGTATTTTCAGGGGAGTTTGAATTGAAAATTTAGACAATTGTTCAGTAGGATGATTATGTTACTGATTGGAATTTACCTTACATCAATTCCAGATTTAAGGTGCAGTCTTTGCTTGATTTTCTAAATTAAAATTTAAAAATACCACAAATAAATTTTTCAACAATCAAATTCCTTAGCTCCTTTAACTCCTTCTAGCTACAATAATATCTTTTCAGACCTCTGAAACCTTAATATAGATACTCCTTGAGCCCACCCTACTCCTCCGCTCAGAACTCCAAAGACCGAGCTCTCCTTAATGAAGGCTAAAATCGACCAAATCCAGAACGAACTCATCCAAAGCTCAGATCCCAATATCAAGAAGTCCAACCTCCTTCTTTTAGAGAGACTCAGAACTCTGAAGGATAATTTTGATCAAGTCCTTGCTTTATACAACAGCACCTCGTCCTCCCAAAACCCGCCCCCTCCCTCCTCAGCCCAGCCCTCCCACCCCGAAAACCTCTCCTTTAACTACAACATAAAGGTCGAAAACAACACTAAAATCTATACTATTGGGCACTACTCTTCAGACAGCCAAGACCAGAGTCCTCCGAGACTTCAGATCCATATTGATGACCTTGGAGAGTGAAGGAGTCCAAGGTGTCACAGCAAAAATACTAAATCTATCAGATTCCTGAAAGAAAATGAACTGAAGAGCAAATCCACCATGAGAAGGAAAAGATCTGAAAGAAATAAAAGTCAGAAACATAGCAGTGGAATCAGTAAAAAGGCTGGCAAAATGAGGTCAAATAAACTCTGCCAGTACTATCAGTAAGTATAAATATCCTTTGTGCTGACAAATGATTCTAACTCGGTTCTTATAGAATGGTAGATCTTAGTACTTCTAATGAGAGACAGCAGACGCCACAAAATAAGAAACTAAATTCTAGACTTCTCAGCAAGAATAGTTATTTGGCAAACCTACAGCTGAAATACAAAGGAAAGAATAATCCAACTAATAAAGCTATTGCTAAGATTAGAAAGAGTAGAAAAGCAGTCTCAAAGTCTGGAATTAAGAAAGTTAATTACGAAGGAGATTATGCTACCAGAAGATTCAATTACAAGAAGTCTAAACTAGCAGAAGGCAGCAATAGTAGGAATACAAAGAACTCACCTAAACTTAATAAGTGAAGAGTAAGTCCATCAACGAAGAGGTCTAAAAATAAAAGTAAAGGAGGTAAATTCAAAGTACCCTCTTTACATTTATCAAACAGGATTGCTAGAGTCAAGAATGTGAGCTCTACTTGTAAGAACTCTTCTTCTATTAACAGAGCATTCAACAATAAGAGATCGCCTATTAGAAATTTGAAGTATGTGAGCGAGAAGACTTCTTCCACTAAAAAGTCAGAAACATTTACTTTACCAAAAGAAGCTAGGAGTGATTTGAAGAAATATATGAGTCCAATCATGTCAAATAGATCTGTAAAGAGAATCAATGTAGATTTAGAAGTGGTCCCTCCTTTGCTAACATTTGAATGAGAGAATAACAACCCCTTAGATGCTTTCCACGATCTGAATACTTCTCAGTCATCTACAACAGAGTTTAATGCTCTAAGTTCTCCTTCAGAGATTTCACAAAAACTCCAAAGGGAGGAAATATCAACTGATGATCCCTTGCATAATATCAAGAAGAAGTTATCAAAGAGAATAGATATTCTCTTTGCTTAAGGATAACAAGATGCTGGGTAAAGAATGATAAGTCTCTAAAATAATTCCTCAATACTATTAAACAGGCTAGGGGTTTTGGGGTTTTGGGGTTTTGGGGTTTTGGGG